TATCTCAGTCCTCGGGGGTGGCCTTGATCTGGAGGTGGTGGGAATGGGGGGTGGGCTGGGGGAAGGGGAGGGGGACAGGAAGGGAGAGAACAAGGGAATCTGTGGCTATTATGTAGAACTGAATAGTATTGTAAAATAAAAGAAAAAAATAAAAAATAAAAAAAGACTGGGTCATAAATGAATGAACTAGACACTAAAAGGGCAATGTCTAGAATTAATTGAACAAATAGTTGGTGCTTTGAAATAATTAACAAAACTGACAAATCCTTAGCAAAATTAACAAAATAAGAAAGAGAAGACACAAACTAATAAGATTACAAATGAGTGAGGTGCTTTTACAGTAGACTCCAGTGAAGAAATCCAAGAGATTATTAGGAAATGCAAATCTAGGAAAATCTAGAGTAAATGGATTGATTTCTAAATTCACATTACCTACCAATATTAAAGCCAGATAATACAGACAATTCAAACAAACCCATAACAAAAAAACAAAACTGAATAACTAAAAACTTTCCCACAAGGAAAAGTTCAGAACTAGATGAATTCTACTAAACTTTAAAGGGGAATCTTAATTCAGGACTTCTATCCATATTCCAGAAGATTAAAAAAAGGAAGGAATGCTACCAAATTTGTTATATGAAGCTGTTATCATGCTAATACCAACACCTGATAAAGGTACAATACCAACAAATGAACTACATACAAATTTTCCTGTTGAACATTAATGGAAAATTATTTCAGCAAAATAGTGAATTCAAGAACACAGGAAGTATATAACACACTGGGGAACTCATTTCTGGCACTATAATACTGGCCAAGAGCTGGTGGCTAGCAAACTCATAGACCCAGGGAATCTTACTACTGTTGTTTTGCAAAATGGACATATAGTCAAATCATCTCATCAATAATCATATTTGTGCTCATAGATTAGGGAAATGTTCAACTTTATCAGAGAGGCTTCTTATTGCAGCAGGCTACAGTTAATGCAAAGAGACTCATAACTGGGCAAAGTGCTTATTATCTATATGTTGTTCAGTTGTGAGTCTTGGTATTAATTATGTATTGCCCAAGGAATCCTCCATGGTTTGAAGGATGCCCGAATATATAACTACATGAGTAAGAACTTAACATGCAGTTTATTGCTATGCCATTCAGCAGAATAATAGGTTCTCCCCTACAATATATGTTGCCACCGGTTTTGGCCAAGTTAATGGTACCAGGCATGAGTTTTATCTTGTGGAGTGGGCTTTAAATCCAAGCTAAATACTGTACCTGAAAACTCCTACAGATTATTATTACTTCATTTGACAAAGTAGAATAATATAAAACACCACATATACACACAACAACAACAATAAACCATCAGAAGCCTTCTTATATACCAAGAAAAAGCATACTGAGAGAGAAACCATGGAAACAATCCCACTCATGAGAACATCAAAATAATATATGTTTGGATAAAGCTAACTAAGAAAGCAAGAAACTTACACAAAGAAAGCCTTAAGACAATGAAGAAAGAAACTGAATAAGATACCAGAAGATGGAAAGACATACAGTGTTCATGCCTGGTACTAGTAAACCTATTCACCTTCTAGATCTTAGAAAAGTATCTACTATTGCCACTTTGCTAGATCAACACATTTTCACTATATTCCGAATGTTATCCTTGTATCCACAGGTAAGTGTAGCTATCATCCCTTGTCAAAGAAGTCTCTCCTTATAAAAAATGAAGACCATCACAGACAACCAAAACTCAACACAGTGCAGAGATGCACAGATCCTGAATATTTATCCACTGAATATCCCCAGTGGATAAATCTACATCACATATCATACAAGACAGAAGAGGGGCAGAAAGATTTTGAGAACCAGAAAACTGAGAAGTCTGCTGTGAAACTTCTGCTGACAGAATCTTCTAAAATTGTTCATATATACCAGAAGTTAGAGTAATAATGTTAATGTGGAAAAGAACAAATTTCATGGGGTTCCACCCAAAGACAAAGAACTACAAGCAACTACTGACTATTAGGAAAAGAAGAATTAGCCTCTCCTACGGTTGAGTCCCCTTAGTGACTATTCAATACAAAGTGGTTAGCCCTGAAATTCTATTAAACAAACAACAAAACTAATTCAGAAGATTATGTTTATATATATTTGTGCATGTTCATATATATACATGTGTATGTAACAATAATGAAGCTATCAATTTGAGAGTGGGAGTATGGGATGAGCTGGATGGAGGATGGAGAAAGGGGAAGTGATGTAATTCTATTTTAATTAAAATATATTTTAAGATCTAGAAAAAGGTTGGATACCCTTGGCACACAAACTTAACTGAATCTCAAAGGAACTATGCTTAATGAAAACTATCTAATGATGCTTCATATTATTTGAATCTGTTTATTAGATAGTCTGGAAATAGCAAACCTTGAGGGGTATTGAACAATGATTTGCCAAGGGCATGGGTGTCTAAGAATTCTTAAAGGAATATGCCTGCTGTGCTGGATAGTTTTTGTCAACTTGAAAAAAAAGATAACATCGCCTGAGAAGACAGAAACTCAGTTGAGAAAATGACCCATCAAATCTGCCTTCAGGGAAGTCTTCAGGACATTATCTTGATGGATTGGCATGGGAGGACCCAGCCCACTGAGAGTGGTGCCACCCTAGGCAGAAAGTCCTGAGTTCTATTAGCAAGCTGGCTGAAAAAGCCATGGGAACCAAGCCAATAAGCAGAACACTCCATGGCCTTTGATTCAGTTCTTTCCTACAGGTTCCTAAAATAAGTTCCTGCCCTGAATAAGCTTCATGATAAACACTTACCTGGAAGAGTTGGTTAAATAAACCTTTTCCCTCTAAGTGGCTTTAGGTCATGATGTTTATCCTAGCAGTAGAAAGCAAACCAGGATGCCATGGTAATGGAAGAGTTCTTTATTCTGGTTCTATCATGGCTGTTCTAATCCTCTCACATGGTACAATGTATTTCTCTGCCACAAAACAATGTTTTATGAACATTATGGTAAACAGTTTTAAGTGTTTCCAGCTTATTAGCTATTCTCTGAGATGCACATAACTGACTTAGATGTAGAAGTAAAAGCTTCTTAGACACAGAAAGTAAATGTTATATCTTCACCCGATACAACAGAGCAGTCCCATGAATGACAGACAGCTAAGTACTTGTGCAGTCTCTGCTAACTAGATTATGATAGAAAACTAGAAAATAACATAACCCTGTGGATGTGCTCCAGTGTAGTCCCCAGAGGGCATATTAAAATCTTGACTCTGGTAAGCATAGCACACTGGCCAGCCACTCATATTAATAGCAATAACTTGATATCCTATCAATGATGCTGAATACAAGGTCCTGCTTTCCTGCAAAAAGGAGAACATTAACAACATTCAAATGTGTGTGACTCATTGTCACAGTCTTCTTCAAAGCTCCTATCCAGGCTCTTGGTGCCCTCCCTGATTCCAGACTGTGACTAGAGCAGTAAGGACAACGAAGGAGTAATTTGGAAATATTTAGGACCTCACAGCCATTCAAGACTCTCTTGACAAAACTGTAAATGAGGAGCTATGCAATGGTAATTATTAGCAATATTCAAAGCATCTGGAGTGATATTTCAGTTCAAGAAATTGAAAAAAGACCAACATAGCAAAACTTAAATAAACATCAACAGGAAAACAATACATTTAAATCGAATTACTTAGGAAATAATAAACCAATTCAGTAGTGAAAGCTAGGGAGTCTAAAGGATGATATTTTTAAAACTCATTTAGACATTCATAAATATAAGACATGAATAAAATAAAAAGTACAGGTATAAAATTACATGAGAACAAATCTGCATAATTATTTCAAAATGTAATGAAATGGATAATGGTTGCAGGAAAAAGAATTACCTATTTGAAATAAGTAGAAATAGACAACTTAATAGGAACCTTAAATAGTTAAACTTAAGTTTGAGATAATCACTTTAAATAAATTTACAAAGATAGAGACACTTTCAAAAACATTGGAAGGAGCTGATAAAAATTAGAAATGTAAAGAAATCCAACTTATTTTGCCAGGCAGAATGAATGGATAACAAATTTTTACATTAAGTTAGAAAATTTTAAATAATTATTTTGAGAAAACTAACATTACTTTATGTGAGTAGCAAATGGTTTAATGAAGGTAGTAGCTAAATGAATATAACATTATTTAAAAATACAGTATATTATGCTCATGGATGCATCAATGATTATTGAAAATATTAAAAAACATATTTATGTTTTACTACAAGAATATATCCAGATTTGTTTATCTTTGGTCTTTACCCATTGATACATTCCTATGTCACTTAGTTACACCCACAATAAAAGTTTGGAAATATAAATGTAATTTCACTAACAGTCTTATAAGTAAAGAACATTTGTTAGAATACTGTATATATTAGCACTCTGTAGAAGTTCTAACCTGCAGAATGAATAACAACTTTCTGAGCTGCCTGAAAGTTAACCAACCTCCTGTAGGGAGCACATTCAATGGGAGGCTTAGTTATTTCACTTTCCTTTTTTCAAATATTGTCATTTTCTCACAAGCTTTAGTTAGTTTCCTCAAGTAGTACTCATTTCATCAGCTACTGACATTTCTCAAATAACTTTCAATTTACAGTTTATTTTTTGTTGTATTTTAAAGGAATACTATTCTTCATTTTTAAAACATTTTAGATTTGGGGAGAAAAAGAAAGGAAGAAAATTAACAAAAGTACAAAGTTACCCATAAACCTCGGGACCCTTTTAATCTTTAATGTCTCCTGTTAGTGTTATATGTGTGTAACAGTTGATCAAAGCCCATATCTATATATTATTAATTCAAAAACATTGTTTTCCTTGGGCCTTGGGTCATTCTTCTTGTGATACATAGGATGGATTTGATCAACATTTAAAGTTGTATATTCACCATTAAACTATCTTATAGAATATTTCCTCATTATAAAAATTTCCTGTGTTTTACTCCCCATACCTCTCTATGGTTTCTTACTAAATCCCTAGAAAGTACTAGTCCTTTTGTGTTGCCACAGGATTCCAGAATATAGTTCTGGAATATAGTGATATAGTTGGAATTTTACTTCATGTAGAATTTTCAGATTCCTTTCCTTTACCTATTAGAATATATTTACATTTCCCCCAAAGTGTTTTCATGGTTTAATACTCTTGAAGCCATTGTTTATGATCCTCTGCAACATTATTCCTATGTCAAATCATAAATCATCAATATGATGATATTGGAGATGAGGTCTTCTGGAAGTTATAGGGTTATGAGGAGGTCATGAGGGTGGGACCCCAAAAGTGTAAGTCCTCTAATGAGAAGAAAGGAACAGAGCTTCTTCACTCTTCATGTGCACACAGTCAAGAGAAGTGTTCTTCAGCCAAACCAGGATTTTGTACCAGTTGCTGACCTTCTGGGAGCCAAGCTGCTCAATACAACATTTATTTTTATTGCTGGGTAATATACCATCAAATAGATATAGTAAAAGGACATCATAAAAGGACATCATAGCTTACATACTGTGGAGGCTAAGTAAAACTTCAGCTTTTGTAGAGACATGACCAGATAGTAAAAATGGATTTGATGTTCTTCAAAAATGGCTACAAAGCTTCTCAAATCAATTGTTCAATTTTGCTTTCCCACAAGCCACAGGTTAAGTTCATAGTTTTCCCACTGAGTGAGCTCCTTTGTTGGTACATGGAATGTGAATGTCCACATGGCAGAGAGGAGAGTGTATTACACAGAGCAATGATGGGCAAGTTGACACAAAGATGCCTCTGTGAAGGGCTGGTGGTCAGCCCTGTCATCAGTCACCACTAGAAGGTATGGCTCCCTGAAGCCTGCTTGGATCTGGTTAATGAAGGTCCCAGGCATGAATCAGCCAGCAATTAGAATGGCTCCGTGTCAGCAACAAACTTCACCTGCTGGCTAGAGTTCCTGTAGGTGATGCAGAGTGGTCCTGAGCTGCTCTGTTGACACCTGGGCAAAGGAGAAAAAGGTGGAAGGAAAATTAATTTCCTAAAAGCTGAAAAGAAAGACTCCTGTTGTCCTCCATCTCACTTTGTTTTGATGGCAGTGTTCAGGGTTTAGTCTTATAAAAAGTGTTCAGTAATAGCTGGTTGACTTAATCAGCAATTCTATGATAACATTATATTATTATCCTTTCATGAGCTCATTTATAAGCTGTATATCCTTTCATGAGATTTTTATTGTGTTTGTTCACTTTTAATTAATGTTTATTTTCTTGTTTTTGAGTTTTAAATATGTTTCTACACTTTTGTATACAGTTATTGACTTTATTTTGCATTATTTTGATATAAGGTAGATAGAGAAATAGATAGATAGAGACAGATTAATATAATAGATTATAGATAGATGATAAATCATATGTTGACTATCTTTACATTGTCATAACATTGTCTATCATTTTTATACTCTTCTTTAATCTTAGATGTTCTACAGGCCTATAATAGAGGGGAAAGTTTAATTTTGGTAAAGTTAAGGTTAGCATTATTTTTCTCTCACAAATCACAGTTTTCTATTAATAAAAACATGAAAATTATCACAAGCTCAAGATATGCTAGACTTTCTTTATATTGTCTTCTGAGAGATCATTTTTAATATTTTACAAAAAGATCTTTGATCCATTTTAAGTTTACTATTTTGAAACTTATTCTATATCTAAATTTACTTTACTGTTTCTAAGTTGTGGCTATTAGCATCTTTTCTGCAGTGGTCCCCAAACTTTGGGCACAGAGTTATGATGTAGATTTGCCATTTAGAGCTGAGCAGTCCACAGCCTCTTATTCTCATCACATTGTATTAAATATCATGGACTGCTAAAAGAAACTTCTCTGATGAGGACTGAAAGAAGTTATGATCTACTTGTATAAAGATAAGAACTTAGGAAATAATTTATTACACAGTTTTTAGCCTGGTCAACAGTCCTAAGAATGAGTTTCACCTTGTGAAGCATGCCTTAAATCCAATGAGAAAGTGGTTAGTTACTTTCATAACATTCATGCCACTATTGCATGTGGCATGAGTATATGGGTACATCTTCCTAGTCCACTCATTACTGTGAACTACAGGGTTCACATATGGGTAAGACCGCTCAATACTTTCCTCTTCCCAGTAGTGTACATACAATGTTCCCACATTGTGAAAGCTAACCAGTACGGATAAAACTAAGTCAGTACCAGCTTTAGTGTGCTGTGTCCTATAACTCAAGTATATGGTATCTCTAGCAATAGGATTTCATTCTCAAGTTCTGGAAAGTAATCAAGAGAAATAACAAGAGCATGTAATATTTGTGGGGTCCATTGATGTCATTGACCAACAGCTTGAAAAGTATCCCTCACCTGATTGTAGGCTTTTTAGTTTCCTAGCCAATTGTCCCCTGTTATGGGATAATCTAATTTGAACTCTTTCTATAACTGTATATATGTGTATATTTCATGAAGCTTCTTCAGTGGTAACTGTTCAAATGGCATTCTCAAATGTCTGTAGTATTTGTTATTTTTCACTATACTGCTCTTCATCCCCAATCTATATAAGTCTTCCTGTTCTCTCATTCTCCTTTCATTTATTTCTATGTTTTAACTTGGTTTGAATTAACAGAAACATAGATTACTGATTTTAGCTTTTATTTCTTCCCTATTATACATTAAATAATAACTATGAACTTTAAGCACTACTTTCATTTTAGCTCACAAAATATGATAAGTAATTTTAATTTTAATTTAGATTAACATATTTAATTTTTAGGTTAATATCACTTCATTAGTAATCCATGTTGTTTACAGCTGGCTATTTCTTAGTCAGTTTTAGGTGGTGCTTTTTTTTTGTTTTGTTTTGTTTTGTTTCTTTGTTTTT